GCTGGGTGAAGCACTGCGGGCAGAGCCAACAGTGGAGGCCGGGGACGTCACCTGTCGCAGTCGGTCTATGTCTTCTTGAATATCAGCCAGTTCACTCTCTGAGATACTTTCCACATAGTCCGACATACGACTCTGCTTGGTCGGAAGGTGCCTTTTCTGCGAAAAGGTAAACGGATGTTCTCGAGACGTCATGGCCTGCTCATTTTGCGAAAAGGTAAATTCAGGTTGTGGCAACGTCACGTCTTTCAACCTCGGTTGCTTGGATGGCGACAAAGATATTGCTCTGTTCGGAAAGGAAATTCCATTGTCCGCCGTCGGTGACTTGAACCCGAGTGCTTTGCCAGGCGTTCTGGGTTTATCCACAGCCTCTTTCCCGGTCTTAACGGGTGTCTTTGCCCGTCCCTTGCTCTGCTCCTTCTGTGGTGTCCTGACAGGAGCGCTTAACTTCAGTGGCGTACGTGCTCCTTTGCCGGTGCATTCCCTGGACGGCACTGAAGGTGATTCCCAAATGCTCTTAGATGGTGATTTGAAAATGCCCTTAGATGGTGATTTGGAAATGCCCTTAACTGGTGATTTGGAAATGCCCTTAACTGGACTCTTTTCCCTGGACTCTTTCCTCGGCGCTGTTGTACAGTCTCCCTGGCTCTTGCTTGGCGATTTGCCTCCCTTGCTCTTTTTGGGCGATGTCAGCCCGCCACTTTTCTCTGGTGACTTCCTCAAACTTCCCGACTCTATCCCCGATTGTTGGTTTGGAGAGCCATCACCTGAAGAAGACCCCTCTGGCTGATTTGACAGCAACTGTGAGGCATTAAAGATTGATTCATCTTCTGTCTCCGATTCGTCTGAACGTGACAACCGCCTTTTCCTAAGCTTGGATTTATCCCTCCTTGTTTTAGCTAAATCATCATCCGATGAGTTGTTGCAGTCTTCTTCTATGCCTGACAGTTCTTTGAGGGATGCCGTACATTCAGCAAATGTAGCTGGAAAACATTAGTAGAGATCATAAGAAAAACCATGGTAAAAAAACAAAGAAACTGTTAGCGTGCCGTGGAAAATAAGAGCCGCTCAGACCAGCCAGCGAGCGAGCTAGCTGCACTGTTAAAATTTTTCTGGAAATTCAGACTTTTTTTTTCAGACTTTCCACCTTGAAATTCAGATTTAATAGTCAAAAGCGGATTTTCATTAGATCTAAATTTTGCGACTGCAAAATTTAATTTACCATCGAGGTGATGCGACTCGGCGGCGTTGTGCCGTGGGGGCTCTGGCGGACCATACCCACGTAGATCCAGGAAGCGAAAGAAGGGTTTAAGTCGAGTTGGAACCTTGCTCTTTTTCGTGACTCAAACTTTCTGGTGGGAGACCATTTTCGCGAATGGCATCTAAAAGTTGATGCAGGAGGATTGGACTTGTCTCAGCACACTAAATTTTCAACCAAATTTCCGCCCATGTCTACTTAAAAGACTGATAAGAGGTCACTAATTCAACTTGACTTAACCCCTTCTTCCGCTTCCTGGATCAGTTACCAATCGGATTCCGAGAAATCTACATGACATAAGCGAGTATTAGGTTTGAGTACATACCTTTGAATTTAGAAATATTGAAACCAAAATTGGTTTTCAGACCAGGTGATAAAAAAACTTGGACTCAGGTCTGAAATTACAAGGCAGACCACACTTCAAACCTAACTGTCTACTGAGTACCCACTTACACTCCCGACAAACTAGCGGAACGGTTTTAGTCATCGTCATATTTTGTAAGTCTTTCGAGCTGGGAAGCTGAAATTTTGTACACGGGTGCCCCCACTACTCCTCTCGGGGCCTGCGAAGCGCGTGGCCCGTGCGCCTCCCCTAACGGACGGCACCCACCCCTAAGAGCACAAGGGTGAGAAAAACGATGAAAACGTGCCGTAAAAACCAACTTCACCTTATCGCAGAGTCCAAAGTTTTGGTGTACGAGGTCAAATGAGTCTCCTCTTTCCAACGATGCAAGCGGAATTTAATTTGAACAAACCCACCCCCCGCTGCACTCACCCCCACCCCCTCGAGGGGGTGGATTTCAAGCATGTTCGAATTCCGCTCAAAACAGCGTCGGGGCGTCCCCTGTACCAAGCAATCATGTTTTTTCGAGTTTGCAACCACCCCCGGGTGAATCATCCCCCGGAAAGCCCCACCCCCTTTCGAACACCGGCCGTCCGGGGCCTTTCGGCTTGAGCTAAATGCAACAAAACTCCAGGATGCATTCCTCCAGTGTCCAAGAAGACGTCTCAGCGAAGAAACGCGGTGCCGGACGACTGCAACCCCTGCGGTCGGGGTGTTCGCCCCCTTGCACCCCTGCACGCCCCTGGAGGGGTTGGAAGCCCTCCGACGAGCGGGCTGGTCGAACAAGACATGGGGGAAGCGATCCTGAAGTTTTCAAGACGATCCCACCAACCGTTCGTCTTCCAGAGCGAAAAAAGCGTCACTTACAGTAAAAACCACCCCTCACTTCACCCCCTTCCAGCGACTCACTGAGTGGGGGTAGCAGTCCCAACCAACGTCACATCACTCGGCACAGACCTCATGTCAAAGGCCTCCAAGTTTCAGACTGATGCGACAAAGCATGGGACCGTGGGAGCGACGCAACGATGTGCCTGCCCTCGGCGGCAACGGACGCGTCGACACGACGGGTCCATGCGCCGTACAGATAGGCAAGCCAACTCACCTGGCGGCAGGAGGATTAAAAGCCATTTGGAAGCCTGATTTTGGCCCGCGCGTCACTACGCTTAAGCACTGTATGCAGGGCATGTCTTCCAATACGCCACAGTGGCTAACCAGCCAAAATCAGGCTTTCAAATGGCTTTTAATCAACCGGGTTCCAAGCGTGTTGGCTTGCCTACCTGCACGGCGCATGGGGCCGTCGGGCCGGCGCATCCATTGCTGCCGAGTGCAGGCACATCGTTGCGTCGCTCCCACGGTCCCATGCTTTGTCGCATCAGTCTGAAACTTGGAGGCCTTTGACATGAGGTCTGTGCCGAGTGATGTGACGTTGGTTGGGACTGCTACCTCCACTCAGTGAGTCGCTGGAAGGGGGTGAAGTGAGGGGTGGGTTTTACTGTAAGTGACGCTTTTTTCGCTCTGGAAGACGAACGGTTGGTGGGATCGTCTTGAAAACTTCAGGATCGCTTCCCCCATGTCTTGTTCGACCAGCCCGCTCGTCGGAGGGCTTCCAACCCCTCCAGGAGCGTGCAGGTGTGCAAGGAGGCGAACACCCCTACCGCAGGGGTTGCAGTCGTCCGGCACCGCGTTTCTTCGCTGAGACGTCTTCTTGGACACTGGAGGAATGCATCCTGGAGTTTTGTTGCATTTTGCTCATACCGAAAGGCCCCGGGGCTTTTCGGGGGATGATTCACCCGGGGGTGGTTGCAAACTCGAAAAAACATGATTGCTTGGTACAGGGGACGCCCCGACGCTGTTTTGAGCGAAATTCGAACATGCTCGAAATCCACCCCCTCGAGGGGGTGGGGGTGAGTGCAGCGGGGGGTGGGTTGGTTCAAATTAAATTCCGCTTGCATCGTTGGAAAGAGGAGACTCATTTGACCTCGTACACCAAAACTTTGGACTCTGCGATAAGGTGAAGTTGGTTATTACGGCACGTTTTCATCGTTTTTCTCAGCCTTGTGCACTTAGGGGTTGGTGCCGTCCGTTAGGGGAGGCGCACGGGTCACGCGCTTCGCAGGCCTTGAGAGGAGTAGTGGGGGCACCCGTGTACAAAATTTCAGCTTCCCACCTCGAAAGACTTAGAAAATATGACGATGACTAAACTAAAACCGTTCCGAAAATTTTTGTCGGGAGTGTACAAACGCATGCTTGGCCAAGTACACACTTACAAATGCATGCTTGCAAGTACACACTTACAAACGCGCGTCAAGCATACGTTTGTAAGTGTCTACTTGAAAGCAGGCATTTGTAAGTGTGTACTTGGCCAAGCATGCGTTTGTATGTGTGTACTTGCAAGCACGCATTTGTAAGTGTGAAGGTTTGCAGTGCATGGAACTCTAAAAACTTAAAACAATAAGTCTGACTTTTAAACTGCTCGGTCTGAAAACACATTACAGACTTCTCCGTCCGAAAATTAACACTGAAAGTCAGAACATGCTGATAAGCAATTAAAAATCTCAAATCTTAGTCTGAATTCCCAAGTCAGAGTGGAAAGTCTATAAAAAAAGAAGTCTGAATTTCTAGAATTTTTAACACTGTGCGCAGATAGTTCTCCTCTTGGCTTGGAAAGCAACCGGTACCGTTTGCCACAACACGACTTGCGCTTATCAATGTTCAAAAATATCTTACAGCCGTATTTTAGCAGCGCAACGTCGAACAGATCCCAGGTGAGCCTGTCAGGCTGCACTTGCTTTTTAGCAAGTGCATGAACTCTGCGCGCCATGCTTTTCGGTGGCCAATAGCATTTTCCCATAACTGCTTGTTTACCATTGACTTTGCCAATTCTTCTGCTCTTTGTCCATGATAGTGGCACAGCATCAATATTTCCTTCTTCGTAAAGGAACTCAACGCTGCAAAAGCGCTGCAACGAGGAGAACTATTGAAAGCTAATAGAATAAGGTAAGTTTACGAACAGACACTTTGTCAGGGACGGTATCAAGGCCTCCTCTAATCGACACCTCCTCGACGGTGCTCTCACGCATTTGGTCCGTTCTCGGGCCCGATATACCCCCTAGTTAACTTACGCCACGGCGACGCCCACGGCTCGAGCCCTCTTTACGGGGACGAATTACAGTAAAACTCCCCTCCAAGCTGATGCTGATCAGTCGGGGGACACACCTAGCTTCGAGTGAACGTCCCGATACGTTTAACACATGGTGCAAGGGACGACGATGGACGTTTCGGTGCGCCAGGAGGGCAATAAAATCAGGTGCGGGGGCAATAAATTCCGGTGCAGCCGGGTGCAGCTAGTATTGGCAAAATTTTAAAAAATCATATCTCGGGTACTTCTCGTCCGATCGGCCTGAGATATTGCCCAGCATGTAATCTCATGTAGTACTACATGTGAAAAAAAATTAATCGTAAGTTTTGATGGTTTTGGACTTAGACAAGTCGCAGCGATCTGCGAAGGGACTGGCTTTCACAGCGGAAATAAAAAATTTAGCTTGGAGTGGGTCAGCTTAGAGGGGAGTTTTACTGTAACCCCTTTCTGATTAATCCCCGTCGATGCAAGTTTGCACACCACTAGAGAAGGCTTTGAGACCGTTGCCGTGCTACGTCAAATCGATGTGGCGAAGGTCCACGTCACAATGAAGTCGATGCCACGGCAACAGACTACGTTGTGATTGCTTTATGCTGGGAGGTTACCCTAACGTTTTCTTGCTGCGTAGCTTCAACGTTGTGATGAGGCGTAAGTTCACGTCAAGACAGCAATGCGACACGCTCCCGTCGCAAAATATTGTTTTCTAAGACATTTTTTCTCATTTATTGTCCCTAAGGAACACAACTACCAAGTTTCATCAAAATCCGAGCATTAAATTTGGGGTCTCCGATGATCTGGCATGGAATGCCTCTAGGGGGTGGCAATACGGCACTTTTGGGTGCTCCATGCCGTACCAAGGCCCGGCCCCCCACCCCCGCCCCAGCTGGTGCCTGCCTGTTGCAAGCCCAGCTCACCGCTTCGGAAAACAGTGTTTTTGGACGTTCTGTGGTGGCAAATCAGTCTATTGTAGTCAGTTCCGTAGAAATTTGGTTTTCTATCGATAGAGCACAGAGTCAAAATCACGGAGAATTCATACCAAAGCGAAGTCGCAGCATCTGGCCGTGGCTCGTCAACGTCCCGCTTTGGAAAAAACTCTGCACTTTTCTGACACAAATGAAATATATTCTATGCTCTATCGAAAGAAAACCGCATTTGCGATGGGACTGACTAAAAACAACACTGATATGCCACCACAGAACGTCCGAAAAAAGTGTTTTTGAAAGCGTTGAGCTTCGCCCGCAACAGGACGGCGCCGCGTGGGACGGTGGTGGGTAGCCGGGCCTTGCTAGGGCACGATGCGCTCAAAACTGCCGGGTTCCCACCCCTGCTACGACCCATCGATGTCTACATGCTCATAGAGCAATGGACTAAAGCAATCGAAACCGGACAGGGTTTTTCTAAGTACACTAGGGTAAATCCACTCTGAAAACTCCCAGAGTAAACCACTCTAACCATAGCTGGACCAGTAATTCTAAAAAAGAATCTCTACAAATTCACGCACTTCTGAGTTGGAGTTCTAGAGTGGCATTTGGAGTTTCAGAGTGATATAATCAGAGTTTTTATCTGGCACAATGAGAGACTCTGAGGTTTAGAGTCAACTTGAAAGTGAGCTTGTCTCCAATTAAACATGTTACATTATAATCATGTAAATGTTGTAGGGGTTGTGGGCCCAATTGCGAACCGAATCCGCAATCCATTTTGTGCAACCACCAACGGTTCACGAGATAGTGGAATTTTTTTTTTTCAAAATTTATAAAATTAAAATGTCCCGACTAAATTCCTGTGCAGATGCTGCATATAAACTTTCAACTCTGCAACTCTAAATGAAACTCTAAAACTCTGAATGAAACTCTCAAGCTCTGAATGAAACTGTAAAACTCTAAATGAAATCTCTGACACAAACTCAGAAATTTCAGAGTGGATTTATCGTAGTGTAAAGAGAGACTTACCTCGCCACTGGTGGGGTTTACCGTCGTAACTTCGGAATGCCAAATCTCGCCCATGGCTGCTACGATTATATTCCAAGCACGAGTGCCTTTGTCTCTTCAAAACTCGAAACCACGCGTTACTGTCCGGGCCCGGGCCGTACCCCGTCGGACGTCTGACCAGCAGGGCCGGTGAAGAGTGACTGACTGGCGACTGGCGACTGGTGGCTGGCTGACTGGCGCTGGCGCTGCGTGCGGCTGCGCTGGCGCTGGCTGGCGGCGGCGGCTGGCGGCGGCGGCGCGGGCGGCGGGACGGGTCCTCCTCGTCTGCTCTGCACGGTTGCGGGGTGGGGGGAGGGCGGTGGTGGAGGTGCTGAGTGGCTCTGGGCTCCTGGCGTAGCAGGAGAAGGGGAAATCTCGGGCGGCTGTCGCTCTTCTGGTGGCGCGCGTTCAGCGGGCGCAGGCGCAGCGTATCTGGTGGAGTGGGAATAAACAACATACACTCTAAATTACTATGTAATTTCTCGTGCGCAGCTAAGCATGAAATTGTGCATTGTTGTGCAGCAACCTGTGCGTTTGTGCACAGGTTGTGTATGCTCAATTCTGCGCAAAGCTATGCACGAAAGAATTACGAGGTAGGTGCACGCCAGACCGTGTCTTGTCGTAAAGGCGGGTTCACGAGTCGCTTGCGGCGAGCTGCTCTGCGTTACGGTGAGCTGCTCTGCGCTACGGCAAGGTGCTCGGAATTCGTGCCTGCACACGAGTTTCTTTGCGTTGCGGAGACAGAGCTGCGGAAACGCTAGGCGCGGCTAGGCACGGCTCGGCGACACAACCTCCCCCACCCTGTAGAAACCCTACCCCCACCCCCACTCGCAGGCCGGCCCGCGCTGGCCCGCGCAGTCCCGCGTCGCCCGGCAGCCAGTGGCAGCATCTCCCACTACTCCTGTCCTTGCGTTACGGCGACGTGCTTGCGGAGAATATCAAACGTGTTTGAAAATCAACGCAGGGCTCGTCACCGCAACGCAGCGACCTATGCGCGCAAGGAACTCCTGAACGGCACCGCCTGCGCCCACGCGCTTGATGCGGAGCGCCAACGCGTCGCAGGTCACCGCAACGCAGAGCAGCTCGCCGCAAGCGACTCGTGAACCCGCCTTAACTGGCTTCGCGATGCTGTGCCAGTATCAACAATCCACGCCTAGTGTTTACACCTACCTTGGCCTGCGGCGCTTGCCTGCCATCTGCCTTTGACATCCGTGTACAAATGTGCGTCGAAAACAGCATTTGTCTTGTTCTTTTTTTACTCGTTCTTTACGCACCACACACTAACATGAGAAGCTATGTGAAAGGTACTTGAAATGAACATGAAAGAGAGACGTTTTTAGTGCATTATGAAAAACTGCTTTTCACGTGTCTGTATTTTTTAGAGGCACAGTATTTTCATTCAGTACTAAAAAATCCAGTTAAGGGACAAAAAAAAGCCTTTATTTGAAAAGACGGTTACAAATCTTACAGCAAACTTATCCTTATGGTTCATGCCAAGGCCCTTGCCCTACATTTTTAACTATCCTTCAAGAAATTACACAATTTTAACAGAGGGGCAGTCTTTGTCCGATAATACGGGACCCCAAATTTGATGTTCCGGATTTTGATGAAACTTGCTAAGTTACACAACCGCCATGTTTCGTCAGAATCCGATTCATCAAATTTTGGGTTTGGGATGATTAGGCATTGGAATATGTTTTCGGAGAACGACTTCCATTCCGGGACCATATACAACAGTTCTACTCACGCCGTTCATCGTGAATGAGTGGAAGGCACAACCACTCAGACGATTGAGAATCACTTTTCAAAAGAACGCATTTGCGTACCAAATCTTGAATATGCCATTTGCTTAAGACCGACCTCATTCCCCAGACCTTCTCAATGCCTAGTAGTTTTGACCGTAAGGGCCAATGAAAATAGTTGCTGCTGAATGCAAATTTATATCCAAGAACAAACACTCTGTCTAACAATGTGTCATGCACAATTGAGGTAACTCGGACGACAGCATCATCGGCCGTCTTGAAGAAGGAATCACACTTTCGATCTGTTCGAATTAACATGCCTGGCAATGAAGCCTGGCGGTACACTTTTTTGTCTGTGGACTCGTGCACCATGCGTGAGAGGACAGGCCGAATGACTCCACAAACTCTCATTTTTACAGGTTCAGGTTGCAATAAGTGTCCCTCCTTAATCCTGTTTACAATCTGCTCTAGGCAGCGCCCATGAGCACGCATGCTGTGATTAATGCGACTCAAATATGACTCAAAGGGGAATGCTGAAAAGCTTTCTAAAACGCCATGTTTTTCAGCATCCTTCTTAAGGTGAGTGAGGCTATGGACTTTAATCGCCATGAAGGATTTCCCAAATTTTGATTCGGCATCAGCAACGAAACCGTTCAACAAGCTTTCAGCATCTGTCTGTAGTTTACTCTGTTGAAACAAATCTGAGGACGACAAAATGCGCACCGCACATGAGAGCAACAGAAAATTTCGGTGAGCACCGATTGGCAGATATTTCTTTGTAACAATGATCCCATCGTATAACAAGAAACGGCGCCACTCGGTCGCCTTAAACAATTTATAGCAAGACATTCCTCTGACTCTCCTAGCAAACTCTGAAGGGAAATACTGCTTAAGCTCCTGTTCCATGAATTTTGACAAATCATTTACGACAGCGTCTGTAATGCGGAAAACTACGGATCTTTTTGAAACCACAATAAATTCCCACCAGCGTCTCAGTACGCCCTGGTACAATATATGGAGAGGGTCCATGGGAAACCCAAATATCATGTCCACTCCAAGTTGAGTTAGAGGCGAATCACTGCGTTCTCCTTTCTTACAATGAGTGTGATAATCTATTTGTGCCTTTGATCGAAAAGTTTCATCTGTTCTCAGAGTAGGCCTGCTGCGCCTAATCTCCACGCTGGAAAAATTTGTTCCACCTCTACTTCTACCGACGATAGTGCACCTCTCACACTGGATAAGCGAAGAAGGGCCCTCGCCGTTGACGCATTTCATCCTGCACCTCGCTGGGTAATCTGCAATAAATTTCTGAATCTGAACCTCATACCTGATGCCATCAAATCCTATTCCATTGGCCTGCAAACCCTTTGCTTCTGTGACAAAGTCCTCAAGGAAATCATAAGGGTCTGGATCATTTTTTCCCGCGAAGATTGACACTATGAAAGGGGCACTTGCCTTACTGAATTCTGTGGAACTTAGTCGGCCTAAAATAGGCCAAACTTTACTTTTAACGCTTTTGTAAGGGGATAGACCGTCCCAAAAGAAATCTAAACT